GAGGCAGAGCTGTCCACATGGGAGTCCCAAGCCAGGCCTCATCCTTGTCCCTGCCTGGCCGGTCAGCCAGCACAGCCTTTCCCGTCTGCACACCGGGGCTTCAGCCAAGGTGCCAAGGACCGGTTAGTGGTGGGGAGGGTGGGTGGATGTGTAGACAGATGGGTGGATGAGTGAGTAGATGTGTAGACAGACAGGTAGATGGGTGGATGGGCGTGTAGACAGATGGGTAGCTGGGTGGGTGGATATGTAGACAGATGCATAGATGGGTAGTTAGGTAGATGGGTGGGTAGATGTGTAGACAGATGGGTAGACAAGTGGGTAGATGTGTAGATGGATGGGTAGACGGATGGGTGAGTAGATGTGTAGACAAATGGGTAGACAAGTGGGTAGATGTGTAGACGGATGGGTAGACGAGTGGGTGGGTAGCTGGTAGGTGGATGTGTAGATAGATGGGTGGGTGGGTGTGTAGACAGATGGGTATCTGGGTGGGTGGATGTGTGACAGTTGGATAGATGGGTATCTGGGTGGGTGGATGTGTAGACAGATGGGTAGACTAGGGGGTAGATGTGTAGATGGATGGGTAGACGAGTGGGTGGGTAGCTGGTAGGTGGATGTGTAGATAGATGGGTGGGTGAGTGGGTAGATGGGTGTGAAGATGTGTAGACAGACAGGTAGATGGGTAGGTGGATGTGTAAACAGATGGGTAGCTGGGTGGGTGGATATGGATAGATGGTAGATGGTAGGTGTGTAGACAGATGCATAGATGGGTAGATGGGCGGGTAGGTGTGTAGACAGATGGGTAGACAAGGGGGTGGGTAGCTGGTAGGTGGATGTGTAGACAGATGGTAGATGGTAAGTGTGTAGACAGATGGTAGATGGGCGGGTAGGTGTGTAGATGGATGGGTAGACGGTGGGTGGGTAGCTGGTAGGTGGATGTGTAGACAGATGGTAGATGGGCGGGTAGGTGTGTAGATGGATGGGTAGAATGTGGGTGGGTATCTGGTAGGTGGATGTGTAGACAGATGGTAGATGGTAGGTGTGTAGACAGGTGGGTAGATGGTGGTAGGTGTGTAGATGGATGGGTAGACAAGGGGGTGGGTAGCTGGGTGGGTGGATGTGTAGACAGATGGTAGATGGTAAGTGTGTAGACAGATGGGTAGATGGGCGGGTAGGTGTGTAGACAGATGGGTAGACAAGGGGGTGGGTAGCTGGTAGGTGGATGTGTAGACAGATGGTAGATGGTAGATGTGTAGACAGATGGTAGATGGTAGGTGTGTAGACAGGTGGGTAGATGGGCGGGTAGGTGTGTAGATGGATGGGTAGACGGTGGGTGGGTAGATGGTAGGTGGGAGTGTGAGAGAGGGATGGGTGGACGCAGGAGGGCCAGAGTAGGGAGGGTGGGAGCCACTGTGGGTTCTCGTCATGGACTGGGATCTGGGGCGTGGCGGTCCACGTGGAACTGGGAGGTCTCCGTTCTGTGGCGTTGGACGTGGCCCTTCAAGGGCATCTCAGTCTTTACCGGCAGCTGCCTGCTGAGGGCTGGCCCTGCTCTCCCGCAGGCCACTGGGGCGGGGCCGTGGGAGGCCATGGGGTGGGTGCACCTGCTCCCTGGACGTCGTGCCCCTTCCCTGTGCAGGGCAAACCTGCTGTGGGCACGCGTGGTGAGGGGATGATGCCGACCACAAGGAGAGCACAGGTGCCTCTGTCTGTAGCGGGAAGCCAGAGCCCGGCGGGGGCTTTGCCAGTGCCCCCTGCTTCCACCTCTGTGGGAGGCAGTGCCGGGACAGCCTGCAGGTCAGACCCTCCACCCGGCCAGGCCTAAGAAAGCAGAGCCGAAGCACCAAGCATGGCGTCTGCAGTGGGCACAGGGTAGGGGGTGACCCGGGGGGTTGGCATGCAGAGGAGGCCTGGGCTACTGGGGGAGCAGGGCCACCTGGCAGAGGACTTGGGAGGGGCCTGACTGCTGTGAGCGTGCTGGGTTCCCAGATCAGAGTGCACCCTGGGAGGCTGTGGATGGCGGAGGTCCTGGGGCCGCAGTCCCAGGAGAAGGTGGGGACTTGACGGGCTCCTCCTCGGTCCTCTCGTGGGCCGTGTCCTGTGTGGGCTGTGTGCTTATGTGTGTTGTATCCTGCATGGGCTGTGTCGTCTCATGTGCTGTGTCCTCATATGTGCCGTGTCCTCATTAGGGCCATGTCCTCGTGGCCTGTGTCCTGTGTGGGCCGTGTCCTCACATGTGCTGTGTCCTGCATGGGCCATGTCTGTGTTCTCACATGTGCTGTGTCCTACATGGGCCATGTCCTTGTGTAGGTCCCGTCACGTGGGCCATGGGCTGTGTCCTGCGTGGGCCATGTCCTCACGTGGGTCCTGTCACGTGGGCCGTGTCCCCATGTGGGCCGTGGGCTGTGTCCCCACGTGGGTCCTGTCATGTGGGCCGTGGGCTGTGGGCTGTGTCCCCATGTGGGTCCTGTCACGTGGGCCGTGGGCTGTGTCCCCATGTGGGTCCTGTCACGTGGGCTGTGGGCTGTGTCCCCATGTGGGTCCTGTCACATGGGCCGTGGGCTGTGTCCTGCGTGGGCCATACATGGGCATGTTCCCAGTGCTCCTCACTCCCTGTCTTTAACTTCCTGTTGCCGTGGTCCCATTCCAAGGGTGCTCACTCTCCTGTGACCAGGGGTGACCCAGGCAGGACAGGCGGCCCAGTGCCGTGGTCCCATTCCAAGGGTGCTCGCTCTCCTGTGACCAGGGGTGACCCAGGCAGGACAGGCGGCCCAGTGCCTGTGCTGGGCGCTGCTGGTGCCTGCCTGGCCTGAGCCCTCACCTGAGGCCTCACCTGGAGGCCTCGCTTCTGGGCCGGGGCGAAAGGCGAGCGTGGCCTCAGTGGGTAGGGTCGGCCCGCGGCGAGGGCGCCAGGGCGGCTTGGGTCCCCGCGGCTCCGCTCGTGAAGCTGTCCGGTGTGCAGCGTGTCGGGACACGTGTGACCTCGGGCACAAGATGCAGGCGTCAGCTTGAAACTGGGGACGCATTGGGCTTTCGAACTTGCCTTAGGTGGCGCGTGAGCGGATGCCTGTGGAGGCCGCCGAGTCTGGCCCCTCCTGACGCTGTCCTGCCCGAGGCTGTGTGGCGGCGAGTTAGCATGTGGCCGGCAGCCTACTGCTCTCCAACCACGGGGCTCAGAGCGTGGGTGTGGCGCGGCGGCAGCAGAGCCCTGGCTGGGTGGGCACTGCGGGTGTCCAGGCAAATGGTCCATGGCACCGGGAAGTGGATCGGGGTGGCCGGGGCGCGGGTGGGACTGGCCGGGACAGGCGCGTCTCCTGCTGTGCCGGCCGTGCCCTGTGACCTCAGCGTGTGCAGCCGGGCTGCGTGTGAGCTGTGCCTCAGCGATGGTGGCTTCAGAGGCCTGTGCTCGCTCCCCCCCCCCCCCCCGGTGGACCTGGCGCCTCTGGGGCACGGGGTCACAGTTGATGCGCTGTGCGTGAGCCTTAGGGGCCCTGATGCTTCTGGGCTGGCCTCATGCCCCGACCCTGGGCTCCGGGGGGCTGGGGCAGCCCTGCCCTCCTGGGTCTCCTGGTCAGAGCCGGCTGTGGCCGGGACAGCCGCCTGGTGCCCACACCTAGGCCTCAGGAAGGGGAGACTGAGACTGCCCGTGAAGGGGCCGCCGGCGCCCCGGCTCCCCGAGCTCACCTGGAGGCACAGAGCTGAGCTCTGCGTGCAGTGGCGACTCCGGCCTGGGGAGTCCAGAGACTGGCAGGACGTCGCTGGCCTCAGTGGCCCCCGGGGACAGGCAGCAGCAGCTCCGTAGGCCCGGGCAGGCTGGCGGCTGGGGGCGGCCAGCTTCTGCCGGACAGGTGGGGGCAGCGAGTGTCCACCCAGGGTCTTCCTTCAGCTCAGGAACCGTGGGCGCTGTCGTCCTGGTCATGGCCTGTTCCCTGTCCCCCACCGAGGGGCTGGCGGGGAATTGTGCGGCCCGAGGTTAGGGTCCCTCCCTCAACCTGTGGCTTCTCACGGGACCCCAAGCCAGCTGCCCGGAGGTGGAGGGGAGTGAGGGGCTCCCGAGAGCAGCCCCTGCCGGCGGATAGTGATGAGCGCCCCAGCTCAGGGAGGCACAGCCAATAGGACGGACGTCACTCCTGTCCCCTCGCCTGCCTTGTGTGCCCCATGGGGTGTGTGTGTGTGCGTGCTGTGCAAGGGGGTGTGGCACATATGTGCTATGCGTGTTTGAGTGTATACATGTGGGATTGCAGCGGTATGCATGTTTGGGGTGTGGTTCACGGGTGTGTGCTTGGTATGCATGATGCATGTATGATGTGCGGTACATGTGTGTGCATGTGGTATGCATGTTTTGGGGTATCTATGTGGTGTGTGAGTGACATGCGTGTTTGGGTTTGTGGTGCATGTGTCATGCATGTTTGGGGTGTGTATGTGGTACATGTGTGAGTGCTGTGGTAAGCGTGTTTGGGTGTGTGTGGTGCATGTGGTATGCATGTTTGGGGTGTGTATGTGGTACATGTGTGAGTGCCGTGGTAAGCGTGTTGGGGTGTGTGTGGTGGGAGTGGGAGTGCTGTGGTATGCGTGTTTGGGTGTGTGTGGTGCATGTGGTATGCATGTTCGGGGTATGTACGTGGTACATGTGAGTGCCGTGGTAAGCGTGTTGGGGTGTGTGTGGTGGGAGTGGGAGCGCTGTGGTAAGCGTGTTGGGGTGTGTGTGGTGCATGTGGTATACATGTTTGGGGTGTGTATGTGGTACATGTGTGAGTGCCGTGGTAAGCGTGTTGGGGCATGTATGTGGTAGCTGGGGGTGTGCTTGGTGTGTGTGGTACGTGTGTGGCAGGTGTGAGAAGCGCAGGTGGGTGCCGCGTGTCTGGCGCGTCACAGGTCTGGTTACGGCAGGTGGAGTGGCTGCCGCAGCGGAGGCACAGGGACCTCCCGTGGCACTCGGGCACCCCAGCCCCTGCCCGCCCGCCCGCTGACCGCTGTGCCTCTCCCTGCCCCTGTGCCTGCAGGACGGCTGTTCTCAGCGAGGGGCCCTGCACGCGCTCCTGAGTGGCGACCATGGGCCTGCTCGCCTACCTGAAGACCCAGTTCGTGGTGCACCTGCTCATCGGGTTCGTGTTCGTGGTGAGCGGGCTGGTCATCAACTTCACCCAGCTGTGCACGCTGGCCCTCTGGCCCGTCAACAAGCAGCTGTACCGCCGCCTGAACTGCCGCCTCGCCTACTCGCTTTGGAGCCGTGAGTGTCCCCCACCCCGTGCCGGGCGGCTCCCCTGGGCGGGGCTCCTGAGACAGGAGGGGCCCGAGCCGGTGGAGCCCGACTCTGGCGCTGGCAGAATTGGAGACATGGGCACCGTGGGCTTGGCAGGGCTCTGCAGCTGGGAGAATAAAGAACTCGACATCCAGCGCCCACAGCCCTGGTCCACGGCCGGCCCGGCCCGGCCTGGGCACCTGGCACGTGTCTGAATGAACGCGTGCGGGTGCGTGTGTCTGCACCTGCTGCACACATGCACCTGAGGCTCGATGGCCACGCCCACGGCAGCAGAGGCCACCAGGGCTTTGCAGCGTGCCTTCGGCTCGTGGCTCAGTGACCGGGGGCCGTCACCTCTGGAGGTGTGGGGAGGTTGCCTCATTTTGTTGTCTTCTACGTTAGCACGGGACTGGCAGCAACGCATGTGCCGTCTGTGGACACCCCCGTGGCTTGTCTGCGGCACAGCAGGGTCCTGGGCAGCCTTGATCTGCCCCGAGTCCGCACAACAAAGCGTATGGCGTGCCGCCATCTTGTGCCGTGGCTGTAGCGGGTGTGTGTGGCGTGGGACGGGGTGACGGGAGCCTGCGCCTGCCTCCCCCCATCCTGGAGCCCACTCACCTGGAGCGCTCAAGGTAAAGGTCGCTCCTTTCCTTGGGAAGAGAGCGTTAGAGACCGGCCGTGCCCCCAGGCCGCAGCCGGACAGCTGAGACCAGAGACCCCCAGAGCAGGCCCTGGCGCCCCAGGGATCCGGCACCAGCACATTCACACAGGGCCACCAAGGCGACCACACCCAAGAGGAGCCGAGGAGAGCTCTGCAGGAAACTTCTAGAAGTTTTCACTACAGTCCTACTGGACGTAGTTGATGAGCCCAGCGAGTGGGTGCACCGGGCGCAGACGTGGGGGAGGCAGGACAGAGAAGGCCCTGGAGGCAGAGCAGGTGGGGGCGGGAGCCACGGGAGCCACGCCGAGGCCCACGGCGGGGCACCTGCCAGAGTTTCAGGCGGTAGTGGCTGGGTGGGCACATCCTCAGCCAGGCTGCGCCAGCGAGGGGAGGCTGGGGGCCGCCCGGAGGTGCCCACGGGAGCTGCTTTTTGGTGCTTGATTGTGGGGATTTAGAATTTCAGTAAGAAGAGGAGCTGTAGAAGTGGGGTCTGAGTTCCCTGGGGCCACAGACCTCCGTGGGTCACCTCCGATGGCCACCGCCCATCCCAAGCCCCGCTGTTGAGGCTGAGATGGGGGCCACTGCGCTGTGGTAGTTAGGCCCCACTTGGGATCCGGGCACCCCAAATCTGCCTCTGACTCGGCTCCCTGCTGACTCCCCCCGGGGGCAGCGGTGGTGGCCACAGTGCTGGGGTCCCTGCACCGTGCGGGAGACGCTGTGGCCTGGCTCAGCACTGGCCGCTGTGGCGTCTGGGGGTGACCCTGTGTCCCCTGCCTCTTAGAGGAGAGAAATCACTGAGTGAAGTCACAGACGCCCGCCGCGCTGGGGTGGATTCAGTTGCGTTTTTTTTAAACAGACCAGGCTGTCAGGAGCGAGGGTCTCAGAGTCGGGCGTCGTGGACTGGCGTCCATTGGGAAGGGGCGAGGCCCCACCTGCAGGCAGAGGGCGCAGGGGCCGGACGCCCAGGGACCGGGGCGGGGGGAGAAAGCAGAGGAGAGGAGGGGGCCAATGCCCACGCCCCACGTCGGAATGCAGAGGCCCACGGGAAGCCACAGTTATCCCCTCACCCTGAGCCAGGAAGTGGAGGCCGAGATGGGAGATCTGCCTGGGACGGGGGCGCCCTGCCCCACGGGAGCACCCAGGAGTGACGGGCTGGTGTCCAGCACCAGAGGAGAGGCCAGGAGCCGCGTCCTGGTTTGTGAGGCGCCAGCCAGTGGGGGGTGGCGCTGGCTGCCTGTCTCACGCGTGCTGGGCTGGCCAGGTGCACACAACTCCGCGGCCTCTGCAAGGGACTCGCTCCCGCTGGGGCCTGTGCTGGGCAGACCCAGAGCCGGGCCCCTTGGGAAGGCGGCCGGGCGAGGGCTTCGGAGCAGTGGACAGGGGCTCTCTGGCAGTGGCTCCTCCTGCTCATGGCCCAGGGGTGCGGGGGTCCCCAAGTGCTCATCACCTGTCTCTGGGCACCGGCGGCTTTGGGCCTTGCAGCAGGTGTGCTGGGGCGGGCTGTCGGGGACAGCGGGCTGTGCGCCTGCCCACACCTGCCTGTCTGCAGAGCTGGTCATGCTGCTGGAGTGGTGGTCGTGCACCGAGTGCACCCTCTTCACCGACGAGGACACCCTGGGCCACTTCGGGAAGGAGCACGTGGTCGTCATCCTCAACCACAACTTCGAAATCGACTTCCTCTGTGGGTGGACGATGTGCGAGCGGTTTGGCGTGTTGGGGGTGAGCCAGGGTGCCCTGGGTGCAGGGGTGAGGGACGGGGCCCCGGGGTGCAGGGGTGAGCCATGGGGGGCCAGGGATGCAGGGGGTGAGATGGGGTGCAGGGGTGAGGGGTGGGGGTAGGGATGAGCCATGGGGGTCTTGGGTGCAGGAGTGAGCCATGGGGGGCTGAGGTTCAGGGGGTGCAGAGGTGAGGGATGGGGGTTCAGGGGTGAGCCATGGGGGCCAGGGGTGCCGGGGGTGAGGGTTGGGATGCAGGGGCAGGGGATGGGGCAGAGGGCCGGGGTGGGGGAGCCCGGGGCTGGGGTCTCCAGGCCTCTGGCTGTCCCCTCCTGGGAGGGTCCCTAGTCGGTGGCTTTGGGCCGGGCGCTGAGTGTGGATCTGCGGGCCCCGTCCCAGGCTGGTTCTCAGGACAGCGGGGATCTGCTGCCCCCAGTGAGTCCTGCAGACAGGCTGGGGCCTTGCACCGCACAGCAGCTGGCCCTCGGCGGGAAGCCTGGGGGTCACAGCGGGGACCTCTGAGCCCGGCACCGTCCCCTCCTGGCCTGGGCCCTGCCTCGTTTCTGGCGGTGCTGACCTGAGCGTCACCTGGCTCAGAAGCCGGGGTCCCGTCCGCCGCACTCGCTCAGAGCCGCCAGCCCTGACCTCGCCCCCCGCCCCCCGCCCCCCGCAGAGCTCCAAAGTCCTGGCTAAGAAGGAGCTGCTGTACGTGCCCCTCATCGGCTGGACCTGGTACTTCCTGGAGGTGGTATTCTGCAAACGCAAGTGGGAGGAGGACCGCGACACGGTCGTGCGGGGGCTGAAGCGCCTATGCGACTACCCGGAGTACATGTGGGTGAGTGTGCCCCCAGGCCCCGCCCCGCCCACCACCCAGGCCCCGCCCCACGGGCCAAGGCCCTGCCCCGCAGGCCCCGCCCCGCCCACCACCCAGGCCCCGCCCCACGGGGCAAGGCCCTGCCCCGCAGGCCCCGCCCCGCCCACCACCCAGGCCCTGCCCCACGGGGCAAGGCCCTGCCCTGCAGGCCCCGCCCCAGCATGTCCCCATGGCCCCCAGGCCACACCCCAGGCCCCCACCCTGGGCTGAGGCACACCCCACCGGCCTCTATGGGTCACAGGCCACGCCCCAACACGCCCACCGGTTCAGGCCACGCCCCTTCCCCTCCGTCCCCTCTGCCCCCTCCGCCCCCTCTCCCTTCTCCCTTGTGGTCTGTTGGGTGAAAACTGGCTGCATCCGTGCATCCCTGACAACACCTGTGTGATCAGACACCCTCTTGCCTCCCTTCCTTCTGGAACATTCTAGCTGCAAAGCTGCTCTGTGTGGCTGACAAGCAGATTGCTGCCCTAAAATAAAGTGGGTCCCCCCATGCCCATGTCTCCCCAGCCTGGCAGCCCCCGCCCGGGTCACCCCGTGTCCCCCATGCCCGTGTCCCCAGCCTGGCAGTCCTCACCCCGCCCTGCCGGGTGCCCAGGTCACCCCATGTCCCCAGCCTGGCAGCCCTTTCCCCTCCCCACCAGGTGCCCTGGTCACCCGTGTCCCCCATGCCCGTGTCCCCAGCCTGGCAGCCCTCCCCCCACCCTGCCAGGCGCCTGGGTCACCCCGTGTCCCCGCAGCCTGGCAGCCCTCCCCCCGCCCCGCCGGGTGCCTGGGTCACCCCGTGTCCCCCATATCCTGTCCCCCCCAGCCTGGCAGCCCTCCCCCCGCCCCGCCGGGCACCCTGGTCACCCTGGGTCCCCCATGTCCTGTCCCCCAGTTCCTGCTGTACTGCGAAGGCACGCGCTTCACGGAGACCAAGCACCGGGTCAGCATGGAGGTGGCCGCCTCCAAGGGGCTGCCCCCGCTCAAGTACCACCTGCTGCCACGCACCAAGGGCTTCACCACGGCCGTGCAGTGTCTGCAGGGGACAGGTGCGAGTGGGCGGGGGGCGCAGGGCGCGGGGCATGGGCGGGTGGGGGTGCCGAGGCGCAAGGCGGGGGCACGCAGTTAGCCCACTGAGGGTGAAGCGCCTGGCAGGAAACCACGTCATGCCACGGTCACTCGGGGCGGGCGGGCCCCAGGCGTGCGCCAGGGCGCGAAGGCCGGCGAGCCGTGGTCACTCGGGGCAGTCGGGCCCCAGGCGTGCGCCCAGGGCAGGAAGGCTGTGAGCCGCGGTCACTCGGGGTGGTCGGGCTCCAGGCGTGCGCCCAGGGCGGGAAGGCTGTGAGCCGCGGTCACTCAGGGTGGGCGGGCTCCAGGCGTGTGCCCAGGGCAGGAAGGCCGGCGAGCTGCGGTCACTCGGGGTGGTCGGGCCCCAGGCATGCACCCAGGGCGGGAAGGCTGTGAGCCGCGGTCACTCGGGGTGGTCGGGCCCCAGGCGTGTGCCCAGGGCGGGAAGGCTGTGAGCCGCGGTCACTCGGGGTGGTCGGGCCCCAGGCGTGCGCCCAGGGCGGGAAGGCCGGCGAGACGCGGTCACTCGGGGCGGGCGGGCCCCAGGCGTGCGCCCAGGGCGGGAAGGCCGGCGAGACGCACCCCTACCCTCCCTGCCCCGCAGTCGCCGCCATCTATGACGTCACGCTGAACTTCCGCGGAAACAAGAACCCGTCGCTGCTCGGGATCCTCTACGGGAAGAAGTACGAGGCGGACATGTGCGTGAGGTGCGTGCCCTCCGGTGCCACCAGGGCCCCAGCCGCCTGGCCCTGCTGACCTCTGCCTTCACCCTGGGGGGTAGCCACCCACATCTCTCCAGGGCAGGCAGCAGGCAGCCGGTTCCGGTGCGTGGCCCTGTGTCTTTGGAGTGGGTTGGGCCCCTGCGGCGTGGGGTCTCTGTCCACCCCAGTGGAGGGCGGTGGGCCGAGGTCCTCTCCCAGTGTCTCTAAAACCCCAGCCGGGGCTGCAGCGCGGCTGGGGGGGGAGGTGGTCCCCGGGCCCACGGGTGCTGTGGCCGGGCCAGCACATGGCGGGTGGGGTGTGCAGAGGGTGGCCTAGTCCGGGTAGACAGGTGGGGTGGGTTCTCGACTGCGTGAGAATCCAGGTGGGAGATGGATCCGTGGTCAGCAGGGTAGCACGTGTGATGGGGGGTGTCCATCAGAGCGAATGGACAGCTCTCCTGACAGAATCAGAGGCCTTGATTGTCGCTCCCCCTCTTCGTGGAGGAACGACACAGGACCCTGCGCTGTTCTTTCGTCTGCTCGGCCCTCCCCGGGTTTGCTGCTGGTTCTTCCCGGGTTGGCTACTATCCCTTCCACCTCCGTGGAAGGGCAGTTCCCCCTGGCCGCATTCCCCACTTCCGCAGGGGAGCGGCACACCGCCGGCCGGCTCTCTCGGGGGCTGCACAGGTGTTCCCTTAGATGTTCCCCATAGATGTTCCTGGTGCATGCCGTCTCTCTCCTCCCTCATAGTCCTCCTCCGCCAATCCCAACTCGGCTGAGTACGCTGCTCTCCAATCAGGAGCAAGTCCTACAGTTAATTGGTTGAACTGGAGGCAGCTGTGCGGAAGCTGTTTACCTCTCTCCCAGCGCCATATTGTGGGAGAGCAGATGCATAGAATAAGTCCTAATTCGAGCAACTTAGTCTAGTCCGGATTGCTCCCCACAGATCCCCCTTTCTTTTTATTTTTTGGCGTTGATACGCGCCTGTCTTCGGTGTCCCGCAGCACACACTCTGCTCTACTTGCTAGCGTTGCCACAGGCTCTTACAAGTCCTATCAATCAGGAAAACCGAATCCGGGTCCTCTCTTCGCCATTGTGAGGAGGTTTTTAGGCGCTGATGCATGCCTGTGTTCGGTGCCCTGCAGCGCATGCTCTGCTCTGCCCGCAGGGGCTTACAAAACCTATCAGGCAAACCGAATCCAAGCCTTCTCATTGCCTTATTGTGGGGGAGACTTATTAGTGTTGGTTCGTGCCTATCTTCGGTGACCTGCAGCTCATACTCTGGTCGAGCTTTGCTGGCGCTTACCGCCTTAAATCAGGCAGACCGAATCCAAGCCTCCTAATTGTTGCATTGTGGGGAAGCTTTACTGATGTTAATTCGTGCCTGTCTTCGGTGACCTGCGGCTAGCCGCCCAGGTACTCATCGCCTCACTAATCGGGCAGACCGAATCCAAGCCTTCTAATTGGCATGTTGAGGGGAGGCCTTATTTTTCTCTATTTCTCTATCTCCGGGCATTTCTATTTCTCCCATTTTACTTCTGTCTGCCAACATTCCTATTTCTCTTTTACTTCTAAAACTTCTGTTTCTCTTATCCCCGCAGCTTCCCGGCACCTCGCCCCGCCGGCGGGTTCCCGGCTCTGCGCTGCTTCAGCCCGCGCGCCTCTCTCATCTGCGCAGCTTCCCGGCTTTGCGCGGCTCCGCGGTCTCCACGCTTAACCCTTTCGCGTCTGAACCACGGCCTACGCCAGCCCCGTTCCCTATCTACTCACGCCCCGTGCTCTCTCTGCACGCGGCGGCTTCCGCGAGTAACACAGCGTAGCTTGCGTCTCCACCACTAGCATTCAATCCAAGTTCCCCGGGCTAGCCTGGCGAATTCAACCCAGCGTACGTCTCCGCCCCACGATTTGGCTTCCCGTCCTTTGCTCCCCGGGCTAATCAGACGGATCCCAATCTGGCTTACGTCTCAGCTTCTGGTTTCAACTTTTCGCCCCCCATTCCCGGGCTAACTTGAGAACCCCAAAGTGGCTTTCGTTTCCGCCTCGGCCTGCCCCCCACGGCTTCAATTTCCCTAATATTTTTCTCTACCCGGTATGTTTCCCCAAGCTTTCCTCCAACGATATTCCTCCCTCATTTCTCCTGGCCTCTCCCCACAGTCCGCGTCCGAGTCTGTTTGTTCTAGCTTTCACTTTCGCTTTCGACCTTAGAGATTTCTCCCAGCTTCCCCCCGTAGTCCGTATCCGAGTCTATGCCTAGGCTTTCAATAGCTTCTTCCGGCTCCTTTTTCGTCCGGCTTTTCCCTAGGCTGTTTGCTAGTCTCTCTCTCCGGTATTTTCCCTAGGCTGTTTGCTAGTCTCTCTCTCCGGTATTTTCCCTAGGCTGTTTGCTAGTCTCTCTCTCCGATATTTTCCCAATTCTTCCCGTTTCTTCCCGTTTCTTCCCTCCTAAGTTTGCTATCCGTCCTAGGTTTCCTATCCGAGCTAGGTTTCCTATCCGAGTCACGGCACCATTATGTCGCTCCCCCTCTTCGTGGAGGAACGACACAGGACCCTGCGCTGTTCTTTCGTCTGCTCGGCCCTCCCCGGGTTTGCTGCTGGTTCTTCCCGGGTTGGCTACTATCCCTTCCACCTCCGTGGAAGGGCAGTTCCCCCTGGCCGCATTCCCCACTTCCGCAGGGGAGCGGCACACCGCCGGCCGGCTCTCTCGGGGGCTGCACGGGTTCCCTTAGATGTTCCCCATAGATGTTCCTGGTGCATGCCGTCTCTCTCCTCCCTCATAGTCCTCCTCCGCCAATCCCAACTCGGCTGAGTACGCTGCTCTCCAATCAGGAGCAAGTCCTACAGTTAATTGGTTGAACTGGAGGCAGCTGTGCGGAAGCTGTTTACCTCTCTCCCAGCGCCATATTGTGGGAGAGCAGATGCATAGAATAAGTCCTAATTCGAGCAACTTAGTCTAGTCCGGATTGCTCCCCACATTGATCACCTTCAGACAGGAGCGTGTAAGGGCATGGGGTCCAGTTCTTCCTCCAGAAACGAATATTTTGTAACACAAGTGCACCAGGGAGCCTATGTGTGGCATGTGATGTATGTGTGCATAAGTGCACACGTGTGTCAGGTCTGTGCACCTGCAGGGCGCCCCTCACTACAGGAGACGGCCTCGGAGGAGGCTGTGCACACACCGCTCCTGGGTGTAGCCTCAAGGAGGCTGTGCACACACCGCTCCCGGGTGTGATCTTGGAGGAGGCTGTGCACACACCGCTCCTGGGTGTGGCCTCGGAGGAGGCTGTGCACACACCGCTCCTGGGTGTAGCCTCGGAGGAGACTGTGCACACACCGCTCCCGGGTGTGATCTTGGAGGAGGCTGTGCACACACCGCTCCTGGGTGTGGCCTCGGAGGAGGCTGTGCACACACCGCTCCTGGGTGTGGCCTCGGAGGAGACTGTGTACACACCGCTCCCGGGAGGAGGCTGTGCACACACCACTCCCGGGTGTGATCTTGGAGGAGGCTGTGCACACACGGCTCCTGGGTGTGATCTTGGAGGAGGCTGTGCACACACCACTCCCGGGTGTGATCTTGGAGGAGGCTGTGCACACTCTGGGACCTCTGGGGCCTCATTTTCACCCCAATGTGTGAGACGCGACGGCCATGAGGGTGGCAGCCAGGCCCCTGATGGTGGCCCCCGGTCCGTATTTGTTACCCGAGGTCAGCCATTGTCCACAGTCGTGGGTCTTACACCGTGCGCCGTGCTGAGCGGTGAGTGCAGCCTCACGCTGCCGCACCCCTGTGTCCGGTGCAGCCACGCTGTGCTGGTCAGCCTGCAGCTGCCCCCTCCCAGAGCCGCTGTCTGTCACAGGTGACCCAGTGATGGCCCGGAGGCAGACAGCATGAGGGTTGGGAGGAGCTGGGAAGGGGCAGGGTGCTCCTAGACCCTGCCAGTGTCACTGCTGTGTGTGCTCTGCGCCCCCTCCTGGGCATCCTGGGGTACTGCGGTTGCCCGTGGCCAGCAAGTTCTCCCCTCTGATGGCTTTAGCTCTGGTGCCCCTCCGCACCCCCGCCCTGCACGTGGGGGTGGGCGTGGGGGCGGTGCCTGCCTGTCCCAGAGATGTCCCTCTAGAAGACTAGCTGACTGCGTTTTCCTGTAACCCGTGAGCTGTTGGCAAGGTTCTGCTGTGACTTCCGTGAGTGGCAGAGCTCAGCTCCACAGCGGGAGCTGCCACGGCACCGGCCAACCTTGGCAGGCTGCGGTCGCCAGGCCTCCTCTGCCCCACCAGGGTGCTGGCGAGGCAGGGGGTGAACCTGTATCCTGGCCATGCCTCCTGTCTGAGGCCCGGGGGCTGGATTTGTGAGATGCGTAGTGGTCTTAGCCTGGTGATGGACGCCTGCAGTGCTGGTCATTCCTGGAGTGGACGTGGTCACTGCGGGAGGTGCTGTGTGACTGCCCTTGGCAGTGGCGCCGGAGGCCCGTGGGCTCATGGGGTGGCGGGCGGGCATCACTGTGTGGAACGTGTGGCCGTCTCCTCTCGGGGTGCCTCTCGGCCCCTCGGTCTCGGAGCCCCCCCGGAGCACCGGGGCTGGTTCTGTGGGCTCGGAGCAGATGCCAGCAGCCCCAGTGCCCCTCCCCGGCGTGTGCCGGCGCCGGGAGCTCACCCCCGCCGCGCTCACCCCCACCTCGCTCACCCCCGCCTCGCTCACCCCCGCCTCGCTCACCACCGCCTCGCTCACCCCCGCCTCGCTCACCACCGCCGCCCTTCTCCCGAACAGGAGATTTCCTCTAGAAGAGATCCCGCTGGATGAGAAGGAAGCGGCCCAGTGGCTCCACAAACTGTACCAGGAGAAGGTGAGGGCTGGGCGGGGCGGGGTGGGGGCTCCACAAACTGTACCAGGAGAAGGTGAGGGCGGGGCGGGGCGGGGTGGGGGCTCCACAAACTGTACCAGGAGAAGGTGAGGGCGGGGCGGGGCAGGGGCTCCACAAACTGTACCAGGAGAAGGTGAGGGCGGGGCGGGGCGGGGGCTCCACAAACTGTACCAGGAGAAGGTGAGGGCGGGGCGGGGCGGGGGCTCCACAAACTGTACCAGGAGAAGGTGAGGGCTGGGCGGGGCGGGGTGGGGGCTCCACAAACTGTACCAGAAGGTGAGGGCGGGGCGGGGCAGGGGCGGGGCCTCCCCTGGGGCGGGGCAGGGGCTCCATAAACTGTACCAGGAGAAGGTGAGGGTGGGGCGGGGCGGGGGCGGGGGCGGGGCCTCCCCTGGGGCGGGGCGGGGGCTCCACAAACTGTACCAGGAGAAGGTGAGGGTGGGGTGGGGCAAGGGCGGGGCCTCCCCTCCGCACCTGCAGCCCCCAGGCTCCCTGTCCTTCCCGTTTTTTCCCACCCCTGACCTCAGCGCAGGAGGAGTAAACACAGTGAGGCAAGCGTGAGGGCCAGGGTGCTCATGTGACCTCAGCTGGTGACGTCACACCACGCCTGCCGTGTGACCTCGGCTGGTGACGTCATACCACACCTGCCGTGTGACCTCGGCTGGTGACGTCACACCACGCCTGCCGTGTGACCTCGGCTGGTGACGTCATACCACACCTGCCGTGTGACCTCAGCTGGTGACGTCACACCACGTGTGACCTCAGCTGGTGACGTCACACCACGCCTGCCGTGTGACCTCAGCTGGTGACGTCACACCACGCCTGCCGTGTGACCTCGGCTGGTGACGTCACACCACGCCTGCCGTGTGACCTCGGCTGGTGACGTCACACCACGCCTGCCGTGTGACCTCGGCTGGTGACGTCACACCACGCCTGCCGTGTGACCTCGGCTGGTGACGTCACACCACGCCTGCCGTGTGACCTCGGCTGGTGACGTCACACCACGCCTGCCGTGTGACCTCGGCTGGTGACGTCACACCACGCCTGCCGTGTGACCTCGGCTGGTGACGTCACACCACGCCTGCCGTGTGACCTCGGCTGGTGACGTCACACCACGCCTGCCGTGTGACCTCGGCTGGTGACGTCACACCACGCCTGCCGTGTGACCTTGGCTGGTGACGTCACACCACGCCTGTCCTGTGACCCCTGCCGAGGATGTCACCCCACACCTGTCTAGGTCTGTGAGAGCAGGCTGTAGCTGCCAGCCGACGTCTCGTGGGCAGCACAGGAAGGCCAGGAGCCCCTTCCTGCCCCAGCCTGCCTGGCGCAGCACTGGTGCTTCCACAGCCCCTCAGGGCGCCTCGTGGGACCTGGGTAGCCAGGGGCCCCCCAGGGCAGAGCCTGCACCTTCTCAGTGCATTGCAGGGCTCCGGGAACAGCAGGGAGTTCTCGCTGAACCCCAGGCTGGCACTGCCGTCCCCGCTGACGCCCGAGTCTCGGAGCCCTCCGGGGAACAGAGCAGGAGGCTCTCGCCTCATTCCAGGCAGGAGGTCAGGCGTGGCCCCACTGTGGAACAGCGGGCTGTGCGCATGTGGCCTGGGAAGGACTGCAGGGCGGTGACCGATGGCACCTGCCCCCCTGGGCTCAGGGCGGTCTGCCCGGTGATCCATAGTTGTGTGGTCCACTCCATGGTCACGCGGTCCACCTGGTGACATGTGGGGATGTGGTCTGCCCCGCATGACCCATGGTCACATTGTCCACACAGTGATCCGTGGTCACATGATCTGCCCGGTGTGATCCGTGGTCATGTGGTCTGCCCGGTGTGACCCGTGGGCACGTGGTCCGCCCGGTGACCCGTGGGCACAGTCTGCCCGCAGCTGGGCTGGGTTTGAGTTGACGTGAGCACAGAGCGAGCGCGTCAGCCTGGCCGTAGATGAGCCGCTCCAGGGCTCCCGGGAGGAGCAGAGCAGCGCTGGGGGCCTGTGAAGCTGCGCTCTCGGCCACGGCACCGTCCCGGCGCTGAGGGTCAGGGCGGCACACACAGGCGGGGGCTCGGACCCTCCCAGCGCAGCCTGAGCACCCTGACGGGGCCGTGGAAAGGCGAGGAAGGCGAGGGAGAGTTGAGGGAGCCCAGCCCGAGGGCGGAGTCCTGGTTCAGCAGTGGGCGGGTGCAGCTGCAGGGAGGTCGTCCACAGGCAGCCCCGGGGGGAAGCGCTGGAAGCTTCTAGGAGGGAGGTGACACAGCCCTCAGGTGTGGAGGCACGTGTCCCGGGGGCGGACAAGCTGCCAAGGACGAGGGGAGGGCCTGGGGTGACGAACCAGGTGCCCCTCACGCAGGCACCCGCACACCTGCCGTGCACAGGGTCCGCCCACACGTCCTGCTCACAGCGTCACGGCACATAGGGACGCCCAGAGAACACGGACGAGCCAGCAGCCTAGACAGCGGCAGAGGGTGACAAATCCGAGCCGCAGAAGAGCAAGCCCACTGCCCCGAAAGCGTTCTTTAAAAGTGCCGATAAGACGGCGACCTCGCGTAAAACTGGCGTGCACTTAGACAGGGATAGAGTAGGCCCAGCGGCGAGCGGCCAGTGAGCTGTTGCCCGGACGCCGTGAGCCGAGTCCCCATGGCACCGGCCCAGCTGGGGCTCCAGGGCTGCAGGGAGCGGGGCCGGGGGCTCCCGAGTGCGGCCTGGCCGGGGCTAGGGCGCGCGGGAGGAGCACGCAGGCCTCTGTCCAGCTCTGGGGGCCTGCTCTCCAGATGTGTCTGTCCTGCCATCTCTCCTGTCCTTGCTTTGTCACTGACACGAAGGCTCCACGTGCACGCAGCCTGGCCCTGGGCGGGCTGCCCGGGAGGCAGGTGTCCAGGAGGCAGGTGTCCGGGAGGCAGGCGCCCCCAGTTTCACAGCGGCAGAAGAGAAAAGCAGCCGAGGGAAAGCCGCGGCTTCTCTCCCCGGCTGTGGGTCTTTCCAGGCCCGGCACCGGCGCGCCCGCACACTTGGGCCGGTCTGGTGCCGTAGCCTCTTCCGGCTCCTTGTCCCCAGCGCTCACCCCCGCCCCATTCCCCCAGGACGCGCTGCAGGAGGCCTACAGGCTGCAGGGCACCTTCCCGGGGCAGCAGTTCAGACCCGCCCGGCGGCCCTGGACGCTGCTCAACTTCCTGTGCTGGGCCACCGTCCTCCTGTCGCCCCTCTTCAGCTTCGTCCTGGGCGTCTTCGCCAGCGGCTCCCCCCTCCTGATCCTGACCTTCCTGGGGTTTGTGGGAGCAGGTAACGAGCCGCCCTGCACACCGCTCACGGGGCCCCGCACCGGCCCTGGGCGGCACGGCCCGGGCGCCGTCCAGGGGTCCTGGGGTGGCACAGCCGCCGTGGGCAGGGAGGGTGGCTCTGGAGATGCAGCCAGGACCCCATGCTGGCCCCCTGACCTGTGTGCCCAGTCCTGAGCCGGGAGCCGTGCACCTGCGAGGCTCCTGGGACAGCTGGGGAGGGGTGGCCGCTGTGGGTGTTCCCTGTAAGTGGGCGGGGCCTGTGGGGGTTGGGGGAGGGGCCGTCTATGTGTGTTGTCCCCAGGCGGCTGCGGTGGTCATCACAGGACGAGGCCTCCTGCTGGGGCTTTCTGAGGCCACTGAGCCTGGTCCTCTGGGCCCTCCCTGCCCACGCGGGCCCAGGCGCTGGGTGCGGGCGGTCGGCCCAGCCGGTCTGAGACCGCAGCCCCGTGGCCCAGCCCCCGTCTGACCTCCCCTCTTCTCTTCCCGTTCCCAAAGCGTCCTTTGGAGTCCGCAGACTGATAGGAGTGACGGAAATAGAAAAAGGCTCCAACTACGGCAACCAAGAATTTAAGAAAAAGGAATAATTAATGGCTGTGATCGAACACGCGTTCCTCGACGGTGGTATCCAATTAACTCAATTAAAACAGCAGCAGAGCGAGGGGAGAGAGACACTTAGAAACTATTTTTCTTATTAACTGGTGACTAATATTAACAAATAAAACTTGAGCCAAGAGAAAAGAAACTCAGACGGCCTGCCAGACACACGGTCAGCGGCTGGGGCCGGGGCCCCGCCCACCGCCCCCCCAACCACCACCCCCCGCCCCCGGCGCCGCTTCCTCCTCTTAAACTCGATCGGGTCCCTGGGCACCTGGTTCAGGGGCTTCCCCCAGCCCCGGCCCTGTCTCTGCTGTCCTGGGGGTGAGCGGGCTGGGGCCCCGCCCTACCAAATGTAAGTGAGCCGCGGGCCTGGTGGGTCCTGGGGCCACCTCCGCCCTCCCGGGAGTGTGCAGTGCTCCTGGGTGTCAGGCAGAGACCCCCGGGGCCACCTGCACGGTTCCGCCGTGTGCAGGAGCTGGGTGCTGTGCCCTGAGAAGTGCCCCCCCAGGCCCTTCTCTCCAGGTAGTGGGGGCCACTGCTGGCCACTCGCTGTCCCTGAGAGCTGCTGTGCCCACGGCTCCTCGCGCTGGGGCGGGACGGCGCCGGCCAGGGGCCCCAGCAGAGAGCAGCGCCCAGCCCCAGCCGCCCCCGGGGCCCTGCCCTTGCTGTGGAGTCACATGTGTTCGAGAAGGGACACATGGTGTCCCCTCTCTGTATCGTGACCAGCGCCTGAGTAACAGCTGGTTGCTTGTGTTCTAGAGGAAAACGGGGGACAGAGGTGCGGAGAAAATAAGAATTTTAATCAGAAAGCTGTGTCTGGGGAGAGTCCGTGGAGACAGCACATTGGCCGGGGGGCAGGAGGGAGGGCCCGGCTGGCTCCCCGCTGCTTGCCCCTGCACGGTGCAGGCCTGCAGGCCGAGTGGACGGCCAAGCCGGGCGCCAGGATGCAGAAGCGTGGCCCTCCCACCCGGGGAGCCAGGCACGGAGGCTTCATCCCAGAACCCCCTGCTGCTCGGCCTCATCAGAGCATCAGGCCCGGGTCCTCTGCTCATGGCTAACCCTAAAAGTCTTACGGAAGCTGAAGGGCACAGCCCAGCACCCACATGGCCTGGGATCAGGAGCTCCTACCTCCCAGAGAGAACCCCCCACCCCGGCAATCGGCCCCTGCCACGTGAGCCCCGCACCGAACCAGGGACCGCGGCCCGGCCAGGGCGCCCCCAGTTCTGCGGCTCCTGACTGTGCGGCTCAGCCCCCGCGCCTGCGCACCACGCACTCGAGCAATAAAAATGCACCACGAATGTTCCGGGCTTCTTGCTTTTCCCGAGGGGCCGGCTTCACTCTGCCCTAGCAGGAGCGGGGCAGGGGAGCCCCTTGGATTCCTAAAGCCGCAGTGATGGGCTCCCAGGCAGGGCAGCGCCCTTGTCCCCCCCACCCCCCATCGTCGCCCTGTTGTATCCAGATCCAGACCGAGGTGGCCCAGGGAGTCTGTGCTGGTCATGGTGGGGGCTGGGGTGGGACAGCTCAGGCCTACGCTTGCTGGCCCCGTTGTCCCTGGGTCCTGGGGCGTGGTCCTGGCTGCTGGGCTGGCCCCCCCAGACGCTCCCAAGGGAACCTGGCGTGCTGGGTCCCGGGCCAGGGGCCAGGCCTCCCAGGGGCCACTGGGTGGCGGGTGTCTCAGCTCAGGCCCAGGCACCAGGTGGGGGTGGGGTCTGCGCCCACCTGCCTGGGGCCTCTGTCCTCTGCCTCCATGTCTTCGCGGTGTAAGCCCTGGCCCTGCCCAGGGAGGATGCTCGGCCTCTGGGCACCCCTGCCCTGCCCCCCCAGGCAGCTGACGGGCTGGAGCTGGGGCGGGGATCACAGCTCTCTGGGCCCTCGGTGGAGTCCCAGGGCCTTCCAAGGTGTGTATGGCATCGCACAGTGCCTTTATGGGGCTGCCCACGGTCGGCACCGCAAGCAGTGAGCAGCCCCAGGAAGAGCCTAGCTGGGGAGGGGAGGGCGCCCCCACCTTCCTCTCCGAGCTGAGGCCTTAAGGAGGGACGGCGCCCGAGGCTCTCCGAGGTCCCTGTCCCACCGCGAGAGTCCGGCGGAGCTGAGGTCTGTGTAGACCGCCCGCAGCCCCCGATGAGCAGGGGCTGTTTCTGGTGTGGAAAACACCGCCGGTGTTGCCTCTCCCTGCCGGTCCCCACCTCGGCCCCGTGCCACCCACCCCAGGGGTCCTCGCTGGCCCTGCGGGACCTGGAGAGCGAGCCGGGGGCTGGGCGGAGCCGCCGCGCCCGCCGTGGCCGCTGGTCTGTGTCACGCGTGAAGGCTGAGCCTTCCTGCACGTTGCTCAGCCGTGGGCTGTGCGCCCCCTGCAGTCTCGCCCGGGAACTCGCGCATCTGCACGCTGGCTGGCTGCATGCGTTCCCGGCATGTGACGCTGGTGACACCGACCCTCCTGCCGTGGATCCAGGCTCAGGGGGGAAACAGGGAGCAGGGCCCGCCCGGCTGCCTGCCTGCCCGCCCTCCGGAAGCCGCTGTCCCTCGTAAGCCGGCCCCCAGACCAGAGAGGCAAGACGCTTGGAGCACCTCCGGCCGGCAGGCGTGGGCACTGCTGCGGGGACGCCGGTTTTGTCCGCTGGGTACCTCTGCCGTGAGCCGTCGGTGCCGTGGACACCCGGGCTCTGTGCTGCTGGCGTCGGGGCCAGGTTGCACGCAGACACTGCTTTGGGACGAGAGGTCTCCCACTGACCTGGCGCGAGCGGGGCACACACCGAGCTCTGGCGTGGCGAGCCTCTGCCGTGCGGTAATTCAGGGAAGATGGCGGCGTCCCAGGCTGCTGGGGGATTCGTGAGGGGACAAGCACTTCTAAGAGCGCCCAGGGAGTGGCCCGGGCGGTGGCGTCATCCAGCCGCAGCCACGGCCATCTCGGAGACGATCAGTGGCTTTGAAGTGTTGAACTTGGTGATGACAAAGCCCGCCTGGAGTTCTCAGCCCTCGCTCGCGTCTCCCTTTCTTGGGCTTTTATTTTTTGAGAGCATTTGGACAGAAGTCGAGTTCTGACGAGACAAATGCGCTGAGTTGTGTTCAGTTAAACTGGAGCTACTTGATACGACGGAGACCTGCGTCCGGCTCGCTCCTGTTCCTGTCTCCGACCTGTACCTTGTGACAATCAGACGTTTCTTGCCATGTGCCGGGGATCTGCCGGCTCCTCCGGCACAGCTCGCCCGCGAGTGCCGCGTGTGCAGAGACCTCCCTGACGGGCAGGTGCCTGGGCGCTCGGGTCCTGTCCCTGAGACTCGGGATCTGCCACCCCCGACTGTCGCCTGTTCCCGAGGGCGCGGCGCACACAGGGCGCGGCCGTGCCGTGTGGATGCTTCCTTTTGTACCCGTTATTTTTACGAGTTTTGCTACTCACAGCTTTGTGTCTTCGGGCTCAGAGGTATTTTTGGTCTGAAGAGTTGCCGGGGTGGGGGGGCTGTGCCAGGCCCGCGTCCCCTGGCGTCCCCGAGCCCTGGCCGTGTTGGAGGCCTGTCCTCAGGGCGGCCAGCTCGGTGTGGTTTCCGGTAGAGCTGCTGTGAGGAGGATGGAGCAGCCAGGATGCAAGGGTGGGTGCGGCTCCGCCCCCGTGCCCGCGCCCCCAGCCTGCTCTGCCCGCGCCCCCGGCCCTCTCCCTGCGCCCCGAGAGGCCCTCTGCAGGTGAAGCCGGGCGGAAGGGGCTCTGCTGGCCACGCCTGCACGCAGGCTGGACGGGGCTCCCGAGAGTCGGCCTGGAGAGCCCCAAAACTATTTTTCTTGAAAAATCACCTTTGTTCTGTGGAAAAAGCCAAGGAACCCCTTTTTCTTCTTTATTAAAAACAAACAAACTCTTGTTAGAACCAACAGATGTCCAGGTTCCGGTTTGTCTTCTGGAAATAAACGCGCTGAAAGAACCTTTGCCTCCTCCTGCTGCTGGGACACGCCCCCGGCCGCGGACCGCCAGGGGGAGGGGGCCTGGCCGCTGCCGCCCCTGCGCCGTGCGCAGCCGGGAGCCCGCAGGTGTGTGCGCGTGCCCGCAGAGGTGCACACGGGCACACGCAGATGCACAAGGGCACGTGTGCCCCAGGCCTGCACGCCCCACACACGGCCTGCACCGCCGGGGGGAGCTGGGGGGCCTCCAAGCACAGCTGGGTCAGGACGCGGACTGCCTTGTCCTCCCGGCACACGCCTTGCAGCCCTGGCCGACCCTGGGAGGCCTCAGCCGCAGGACTGGTGCGGACGGAGCTTGTCCAGAAAGGGCTCCCCAGAGCCCGAGGAACTCCACGTAGGAAGGGACGGCTCCCGTGACAGCCGGGGGTGACGTCACCGGCCCCTGTGCACACGGCTGGGCGGGTCTTGTTAGCATACAGACACCTGCACACATGCGTGTGCACACATGTACACACATGTGTGTACACACCAGCAGGGGCTTGTGCTGTCGCTGAACCCCCGAGGGGGTGACAACAATGGGTAGAGGACGGGTGTAGCTGGGAGGGACGGAGTCTCAGGGAGGGAGGGGGCCGGATGCACAGCAGCCTGTGGGGCCTCTGTGGACTCTGGGTGCTGGGGTCCCCTAGGGAGGGGCAGGCAGCTTGCCCGGTCGGTCGAGGGAGAGGAGAGGGGAGGCTTCTGGCGTCTGAGGCCTCCGGGCTGAGCCCGGGTTGGGCAGCCCAGGGCGCTCTGCCCGGCAGCGGCACGTCTGCGAGCCGGGTGGTGATGATGGGTGACGCACGGGTGCCAGTGCCCCCGCACAGACCTGGGAGGCTCCTGGCCGCTGCCCCGGGGAGGGGTCCTCACGGCAGCTCGTGTCCTCTCCTCCCACGTTTCTCACGGCTGCTCTGCTCTGGCAGAACCTCTCGTGGATTTCGCGAGTCTCAGGTTTAGGCCCCCCGAGAGTCCATCCCGACTGCCCGGGGCCTGGTGACGGACAGGCCTCTCTCGGGCCCGTGAGGAGGGTGGGCACCCAGCAAGCACGGCGAGGCTGTGCCCCTGCAGCGAGGACTCTGGCTCCTCGGGCCACAGGAGGCCGCTATCCTCAGGAGGACCTCACAGCGCGAGCAAGTGTTCCGTGCAGCGGATCAGAAGGAACACTTCCGGGAATGCCAGGCCAGCAGCCCGGGGAGCCACCAGGGACAAACCGGGAATCAGCCGTGCAGAGCTGCCAGGGATGGCCCTGTGCGTAGCTGAAGGAATCCCCCACCAGGGTTCCCTCCTCCCCGGAGGAGCCCAGGAGGGCGGGGTGTGACCCTGGGGCCAGTGGCAGCAGCTCTGTCTAGGAGGAGCCAGACCCAGAGCTGGGCTCGTTCTGCCCCTAACCTGTTCTCGTGCAGCCCACAGCCTGCAATGCCCAGCACATGGCATGCGACACGCAACATGCAACCTGTTAGGAAACTGGCGCAGTTTTAGCCAGGTGGCCACATGGCCCAACCTCTGTGGTCAAGCTCCACCCCCATCCTAGTGGGATTCGCTGCTCCTGCTTCCCTGCCCGCCCTCGGGCAAAGTTTTGAAAGGGCCTGTTGGCTCTCTCTTGGCTCCTCTCCTCCTCTCGTCTCTCTGCTCTGCTCTATCTTCTCTCCTCACTGGCTCCTCTCCTCTCTCTCTTATACTTTCTTTTTCCTTCGCCGCCCCTTCCCTCCAGCCTGCTGGGTTTTCCCCAATAAACCCTTTCCCTTACTCCGGTATTTGGTTTGTTTTGCGACGGCTAACATTAATATATAGCACAACCCATAGCACACGCCATGCAACACACAACCGCGTCACACAAGCCCCAGCACGCAGCGTGCGCTCAAAGCCCGTGGTGGGGTTACTTCCGTACCCAGCGTACCCGAGGTGCCGCAGGCTCAGCTCCCCAGGGCCCTGTGGGCCAGTTGTGTGTGGGCCTGAGGGGTCCTTGGAGACAAGCAGGGCTCAGCGCTCGGCGAGCAGGACGGGGAGAGGCGCGCCCCGCCTGTCCGCACAGACACTGCCGGCTGCTTCCTGGTCTACTCAAGGCAGGAGGTCCAGAAGGCGGCTTCCCCACAAACTGTAGCACCTGTCGCCTTCTCCCGACACCCAGCGGGGTGTCTGTGGGCGCCTGGAGAGAAGCCTGGGCCACAGGACGCCCCTCCCCCTGTCCCGGCCGTGCCCGGGGGCAGCACCGGTCCCACTGCCGCTTCATTGAGCAGAGATGCCGGCTGCAGACCTGCCCGCCTGCCTCCCCGGCCAGCGACAGAGCACCCGGTGCTGTCCGTGCACTGGGCCCAGCAGTGCCTGGCCCGTCTCTGGGTCGCGCCCTCTCTGGTCTTCGGTGTCCTGGCTGCAA